CGGTACTGACAAACACAAGCACATTGAAACCACATGGGGACCTCGTGATGATTGCATACGCTGGCGCCAAGTCGCCTTCTCGTCCACCTCTATTCTTTTCTTCACGATATGCCTTTCAAATAGACTATGATTGTACGGCAGAGAAGCACCCGCGCCGATCGCTGATGGTGTGCTGTCAGCGATGATAATGATTATAATGATAATAATGATAATGTTTATTCCCAACTTGTGGGTGACATACCGTCTGGCGTGACCATACTAGTTCGGACAACGTAACCACGGTCACATTTGAGGACCAGTGCGTGATATTACTAGGCATCAGTGTAGTCAACCATTGGAATTACTCGCCCCTAATAACTTGCCATCTGTGGTAACTATCTAGAATGGCCCAATTATTGCCAGTGGCGTCGTAAGTTCTAATGCTGTTATTGGATGTTTCATGTTTTGTGAATGTATTCAAGCTTGGTGATCAGACTCAACATTATACCGGCCAGTGACATAGGACCGTGCCTTGTGTAACACCTTACCTGAACGATGTGCCCGTCAAAATTACCGGGAAAATTGTTTGAACCATGTGCAGTGTTCAATGTTGAGGCTGGGACAAAGGTCCGAATCCGCTTGCCTTCCGAATTTCGCCTAGAACCGAAAGTGATGACGTGCTTGTATCCCCAGAGCACCATGATTGAAACCACCATCAGTGTGACGACGAATATCATCTAGACAAATTCAAAACTCGCCATATCGTATAATAGCGTTTTTCTTACTGTGAAGCTTGATATGGACTTCGCACCACTTTGCAGTCAGTTTAATTGTGACCTAACCAGTTGTGGATCGCACTGTTCTACCTTCAATGCGTTCACCCACACGGACTGTAGCCCTTGTGTATGTGACTGGTTAAGGTTGTCCGACCTAGGTAGATGGTTGGTACTAAATGCTTGAGTGGTACTTGTTGACAAGCCGTATGAAAGTTCATGTATGTCGCAGCGGTCACTCACTGGGTCACGCGTCACAAACACTCGAATGACGCAACACATTCTGTCCTACTTACAACCTTATACGACAACCTGCACATTAGGATTTCGCTCAAATTTTGTTTGCACCACTACCATCTGCGTCGTGCGCCAGGATTACAAATTTCAGCACATCAGGTCAAGTTTTATTCACAGTCTTGCAATTACCAAAAATTAATGGACACCACTCTCTTCACATAGCACACAATAACTGGGCATGCAACTCGAATCAACACACAAACGCGTGCACGATACAGGAAATCAGTGAACTCCATTAGTCTCTAGGACAGCTTCGAAACAAGTGTCCCATCCATACTGCAGAAGAAACGCGTCCCACGTCCGAAACTTCACTGAGAAACTATCAGCGTTTGTTTTTAAACGATAATTCACCTTTGCTTTAATCCACTGTTAGCATCGTATTCATTTATCGAGGCACACCTATCCATTTTAATCATCGTTCCGGTAAAACAGACATTTTTAGTGCTTGTCACCTTCTGATTATTAATTTAATTACGCCACAAATAGAGCAATCACAAAGTCTAGGAATCCTATTTCACATTTTTGCGCTCGGGTACGCTTCCCGAGACTGAGGATTACTGATCATTTTGCAACTACTTAGTCATGAGAAAAAGCCAGCCGGGCGTTCCTCCCTGTCGGTGGCACAAAAGGATGGGGCAAAGTAGCCACTTGCTCCTCTTCCATGTTGTTGGACGGCATGATGAACTTTTTTCACAATAGAAATATTTAGATTTTCGCGATCATTTTTAACGATAAGGTTTTCATCTCGTAGTAGATCAAACTGGACTGAGTATGACCGTCGGTCCTTCTTGATATATTTCATCTTACTGTTCAAGTTCAAGAAGCTCAAGCTTTGTGTCATGATATCATGACGTCAAGCACAATCCTGAGCGCCTGTGTAAGTCTCATTATCCAGGATCGTTGTATCGCATCATCTATCAAAAAGCGAAGTTGTGTCCGGTATGAAATAAAAACGTGGATTACAGGGCTTCCTTACTGCCCCACACAAGGAGCAAAAAACCTCACGCACGTTACCTATTTATTCGTCACTGACAAATATATGCGAAAATACAAAAACCGGAGCAAGACGTGCAAAACCACTTCATGCGGCGGAGTTATTGAAATCTCCAAAAATCTTTGTGCCAATAGCGGCCCCTCATAACTTCGGCGCAGAGACAACTAGCGGCGAATCTTTCCAACATAACATTGTTCAAAAGTTCAGCACAAAGCTGAACTTGCTTAGCGATAAGTGCCCGACTGAAGTGGGCCGGTCCTGTAGGAATTTTAACGGGGGATCCGCGATTTTGGTGCAAGTCAAACTTTGTGCTGCTACGCGACGCATCTGACCTTACTGCAGGAAAACGGAACCACCGAAATATCAACAACAAAATCTAACTTACTTTTTAAGTCTGGTTCTTTGGCTCATGATTGTTCAAGGCAATGGTGTACAAAACTGCAATGTCAACAACGGAAGTCAGTTGGTATTTTAGGTCGGCATTCCTGTGGTAAAGGGCGGTTCTCGAGTGTAGGAACTGAATAAGCATAGATGGGCTTCGTTGGTCCAAAAAGCATTTTGACGCAATAAGATTTCCTGCACTCAAGCATCCTTCTGTTGTTCTACATTTACCCACATGATTTCTGACAGTTTAAAGACAGGAAACTATCACAACCACAAGTGGGCAGTAAAACCCGCTATGAACTCCACAACTGGTTCTTTGTAATTTTCATCCATTAAATAAGGCTTAGCTACTATGAACAACAACTCCTAGGGCGATGAAATGGAGATCGCCTTCCGGCATATCCATTCAGGCCGGTGTCACCTGTTCTACTGTCCACGAGTGTCCATATAAGCAGCCAACAACAGATGCTCCCATTTGGCCCGGCTGTCCGCCTTCCAGACATTCTTGCAAGTTCATGTCTACTTTTGCGGACGACCAAAACTCCTGCAGTTACAACGTCAGTTACCTCCATATGGATGTAGATGCTGCAAAATAATGATTGTTGGATTGGCACCTTCCTCTGAGTGACGAAAACTTCGTCCGCACCTCATTCGGCGAAGAATCAGCGAATGACTTTTTCATGATGATGAGAAAGGACCAGATCACATCACAGGGATGGACTCCCGAAAGGATATGGGCACCTGACTCTCTTCAAAATGCCCTTCTTACTGTACCATGAGAAATTGGTCCAAAAACACTTACCGTTTTTTGGACGATTTAGCGGGCCTTCTGCCATACTACTCTCATGGACATCTAAATCTCCCATTGGGCCTACCCCAGACCACCCCTTGAATATGTCAACAAAGTTGTCTACTCAGGACGAAAAAACGACGTGACCCCAATTGAGCGTGTCCAGCGAGGTGCTACAAAAATGGTTGCTGATCCTTCATACGTGCACTACGATAGACGTCGCGCGGTGTTTACCCTCTTCCCCCTGGAGCATCGTCACCTCCGAGAGGACCTACTTCTTACTTCTGCCCTGCTTGAACAAATCTTATCTAACAGGTTTTTCACCGTTGAACCAGCAAACGAACAGCTGGGAAATTGTAGGAAATTTTCAAACTCAGAGCTCGCACTTTCATTAGGCGTAATTTTTCTTATTTCGGGTTGTCCCTGAGCTGAATAACCTTCCTACGGTGGCTGGCCTGCATCTAGAACCCGGTTCAGAGCGCTGGCAAGGATATTGCCCTACGCTGAAAACTTAAGGGGCAGTGCTACAGCCTTCTTTCTATTGTGGCTTTCGACAGTCGCTGAACGACGAGAACAAAACCTACCTCGGAAAACTTGGGCGGAAGCATCGCTCGTGTGTATCCGTGTGTGAATTCGTGAATCAAACGCCCCGCTGGTCTCACCAGCAACAACTGTACCAAGTTGTGAGCCAAGCCGAGTAAAGACACAATAATTGCCGCAAAATTGTGACCGGTGACCGTTGCATCATTTGGGACGCGAAGACATCAAGCGCATTATCGTGCACCGCAAATTTGGACTGAAAAATTTTGCGACCCTCAGTTTTCGCAAAATGTATTTGAAATTTTGAAAGCTACGACGTGTCCCTGATGGACTAAAAGAGATAGGCAATTGAGTTCAGATTACGAGTCCAAACTTTTAAGCCCCATCTAAACTTCTCATTTCAACGATGCTAGGAAAGCATTTTACCAGACTTCCCGGCAGGGGCACGATTGCTTCGATGTACAAGAAAATTTCTGTGGGCTGCAAAATTTTTTGAATAGATTAGGATAATTTTGAGCGTGAGAACATACGCAACAAAATGCAACATTTTGGTGCAAAACGTTTTATTTCATTTGCAAAGGTTTTGCAACAAACAGCATTGTGCTGCTAATGGTCCCAAATTATGCGAAAAGGCCGAGACGAAGTTCGAAACCACCGCGGGTGTTCAACTTACACGGTTACTGTTTCTTCATCTGCTGAACAAAGAAATGAAAACCTAAGTTCATTTCTTTGCAGTATTCCGTAACCCTCTCAGAACATTAGTTCTAAGCAGTTTTAGAAACTCTCAGCGAATTATTTCACTGCATCTCTATCATTGGTCCAATAGTAGGATCCAGGTCACCAAGCCCTTTCTTTGGCTGAGGGCACACCAGTCGGGGCGCTACTCGTGTTGTCACTTGCTGTGGGTTGTGCAGCGTTCGCGCCGCAACTGGGACACATACCCTGTACAACGTTTCGATGGTCCTTTTCGCGTGTCTCGCTTGGTTTTATGTCACGATTCTTACTGTATATTTCATAAGCGCCTTCATATCTGCCTTTTTCGACGTCCAGTTTGTTCAACACCTGTATATAGCCCTCCTGGAAAAGCTCTTTTCGGTAAGTTACAATGCCGTAGATCACTCTGTTAGTATGCAGCTTCTGTTGTTGCGCCGGAGTCAACAAATGGATTTGAACTGAAGGTTAGCGAAAGTGTAGAAAACCTGGAAACATACGGTAAGCACTCGTTTTTCCACCACTAGTAGTGTAGATGAAGACCTGATAAAACGCGATGTGCAACTTACCGGTGAGGGCGTTGTGTTCGATGAGCAACTGGTTTCTGGAGAGCAGAGAGGATTCACGCTCCACCATCCTTTGTACCTTGTCAAGTGTGGAATTGAAGTGAGTTCTTTCGACTGTATAACCGGTTTCTCTGACACCCGTCAAAGTGAAAAGTTTCTGCAGTGTTGCGCGCAAAAGTGCGGAAAGCTCTTAGACTCCACTTTGTCGGTCAAGTTGGCCAAATGGTTTAGTTGAATTTGGCACTTCTCTCAATGGGGTTGTACAGTAGCTCAGTATCACTGGCCGGACCATTGGTGGTTCTTACTGGATCACTGTTCTATAATTGATCCACAACATCCTTTGGAATCCTAATGGGATCTCAGTTCAGGTGCTCTGAGACATCTGTATCGTAAAATAGTGTGAGAAAGTCCCGCCAGATGGGATGTGTAAGTTCGGTTACGGAACGTACAGTAACTTTATTGCTGGACAAACATCAATGAACGGGATAAAATCCTACTTACTTTTAAATTATGTATGAATCGGGAACGATGTCTTCCTGCAGACAGTTCTGGTCAGAGCAAACACTTAGAGTATTTTGCACTAACAAGATGACTGCTGAAATGGCGGTTGTGAGGGCACAGTCATTGGTTATTGTGGGTGTTTGGTAGTTTTCAAAATTTGACATCGTGACAAAGGATAATCGCGCAGTCGTTAGCATTTGATTGAAAACAGTCCAAAGCCAGGTTCTATGATCCACGTCACTAGTCTTTGACAAATTTATTAGTTCGGCTGCCGTTTTTCAACAAGTCTCCACGTTTTAAACATGAGCCTCATACTTGGACCTTGTATATTAAATGTGGGTTGCTGTACGCCTCCAGAAAACACGGTTTTATCAACGCTTGCAAACGTTTTAGTGAGGGGGCAATTAGCCGTTGGTGATAGCAATAGTCTGAGCAAGTAACAGTCAAGAATTTCCTACAAGACTGGTATTCTGTTCCTCAGTTGATCCTTTAATGCTTCCATCCTCGAGTGTGTAAGGGTTAAGCGGCATAAAGCAGAATAGATGTGGGCGTTTGGCAACCTTGGAGGCTAATAAGGTTTTCACTGACTTATGTGGGCAGTCCAGATCCATCTGTCCAAGGCTATCCGATCCAGTCGCCAACTTTTGACATCAGCGAACATAAGGATGTCGGTTTCTATATCCTATGTCAGACCGTTGATAAAAGCCCGGGGAAAACAATATCCTAAAAGTGTACTCTGTGGATGGAATATCGACAGTTGGTTCCATCCTCAAAGAGGGCACGTGTGGCTGTGTGGAAGCCACCGCGGCATCAAAGGCGCTCTCTGGCCTTATTTTTCGACGATTGACGGAACACAAGGAGAGAAAACCAAGCTGGGTCCCTTCATGAAAGAGGATAAATCGATCAAGTCTTCATCCTCCGGCAGATTCTGTAACTGCGGCACCTTTTCCAGTGCCCAACAATGTTTGTTTTCCTTGACTTAAAAGCTGACTTTGACTCTCTGGACCATCGGGCACTATGTGAGTGTCTATGGTGCGAAAATGTCCCCTATAAATTCTTGACACTCCTTAAGGTAATGTACGCTAACTACCGCGGACATGTGAAGGGCTATTTGAAGCCCTTGTCTGCGTTCACCACATCAGGTGATGTCAGACAAGGCTGTCCTCTTTCACCTTTCCTGTTCAACTTTGCCTTTGACACGATTTTAGGAGACCCATCATCCGTCTCTGGTGCCTGTGAAGTCGAAGTGAACCGCGATGTTTGTTTACGAACATTGAGTACGCAGACGACATAGCTTTTCTTAGATCTGACGCCGTCGTTGTTGTACTCCGTGGAATCGAGGGGCCGTTCGCTGTTCTCACAACGCACCAACTCTCGCATTCTAACTGCCAGCTGTCAATGATATGTCATGGTGCAGAACTACCACGCTCCACAATAACGCACTGATGATGTCACCTCGTTGGTGATGAAACGTTCGCAATCAAATTGCCCAGCTCAGCGAACAAGCCAACGACCACCAAACAATAGTAACTTAATGATTTTGCATCACGGCTAAGCCTGGGCTCCACAAATGCAAAGCACTGCTGCAGGACTCGTTCAGCTGTAGCACCCTTTCGGTGCCTAACTGCCATACCGCCAGAAGGAAGCACGAGGGCTGGTTTACTGTCAGGTTGCCCAAGCTTAGACACGGGAAGTCGAGGTGCAGTGGTCAGGTTAAAACAATGGACCTTCCGGTCAGTAAATTCGCGCTCCAACCACTGAGCCATCTCACCCTTACATCGACTTTAAATGAGAGGACTACCAAGACTTCAATGGATGGCATGAATACCTACATATACACCTCCATGATAGGTAGAATAGTCAAGTCAGTGAACCGATTCAAGATCCTACTGTTCCTCCCCAAAGAAGGGTATGTATTGTGATTCTGGCAGGTGATATGAATGCTCAGGTTGGCCGACCAAGTCCTAATGACACTCAACCTGACAACCAATTCGGGGTTGACGCTCGCCACGCTGATAATGGGGAACGAATTCCTTAGTTATATGCCGAACATCTTTTGTTTCTAGCCTTCACCGTAAATTGATCACCAAATACAAACCAGCATTGGATTCAGTTGGATCATGTGAAGAGCATCTATACAATTTTTGCGTACACCATTGGACTCTGATTACGGCACTGTGGGTTCACGCATATCCATTCTCTTCCTCTCTGGAGCGCATCGGTTAATGCAAAGTTAGCCAGTCCATCACCTGCAAAGTCTCTTTTGCTCAGCGTTATCTTGCTACATTGGCTGAGAAGCTTCCAGAACTTGATGGTTACGATGGTCATAATGGTAATTCCAGGTGATGATCGGCGAAAGGTGGAAGAAGACACTGACAGCTTTTGAAGCCGTCTTCCACAATTATTTTAAATTTCAAAGTGATGGCTCGCGCAGATCTGTACACCACGGAATAATAAAGAGCCTAAGGGTTGATATAGAGCACCGGTTGGTCGCAAGTGCCAGGAAATGGATAAAGTTTTGCAGCGGACAAGAATCGCACCTTGTTCCAGCTACTTTGATCAGTTGATCTGAAGTGAACAGCTGTTAGTGAAATTATCTCCGAAAAGGACACGACTTCAACGCCTCTGCAGAAAAGTATCTCCGAACGATGGGCTAAACACTTTGATCGATCCTTTAGGGATCAGGTACGTGGCCGCTACGCGTGGAAGACCCTTGAAGGCTCTCTGTTTGACCATCGGTGCCTCCGAAGTACTATGCAGGTCTTATGAGAACATCAGATTGGTAATGCTGCGGCACATCAGTTGGTGTCTGGGATAGTTCACCCGCCTTTGATGGGTCGCCTAGTCACACACCGCAGATTGCACTAGTTAGGCCATGTGTTTTGTATGCCAGAACGGCCGTTTGCCTCATAGAGCCCTCACCTGGTCTTGTTTCGGATGGAGGCGACTCAATTGGTCAGTCCGGGACGTGGCAACGAAGCATGAAAGCCCTCACCAGCCAACTGAGCTGCGTTGGTAACTACCTTTTCCACAATTGGGGACCGCTGGAACGGACAAATCAGTGGTTAGGGACCCTATGGCTGTGTCAAAGGTGGCGATCATGCATGGGTGCTATCGCCTTCAATGCGAGCAAACTGAGCATATCTTCGCTTCCAAGGCTTGGTTTTGTATTACGCCTTCCCGTTTCCCGGTGATCGAAACTGTAGCAGCCTGAACAAATGTGCATATGGCACACGGTTTGTAGCTGATGAATTGAATTGAATAGCTCAAGTGAGCCAGGTTTCACAAATTTTGGCATCGGCCGGCTGTCCGCCTTGCATATGTGCAGTTACGCAGTGGTGTCAATTTCCAGGCAACTCCAGAAGGTAACGTACTGGGCATTGCCCGTTTAAGGACCGACTCCTTATTCCACGTGCCCAGTTTTCAGGATTACCGGCCCCCAAGTACTCCGAAGATATATTTCGAGTAATTCCTTTGAGGTTGAAGTGGGACTTTCTGACCTCCATTTCTCAGCTTGTACTTACGAATTTCCCTCTTTGATTTTTAGACCAATCCTCCAGCTGCGACACCCTTTTGTTGCCTAGCTGCCACACCATCGAAGGATAGCTAGGTTGCCCGAGCATAGACAGGAGTAGTGGAGATCCCGAGGTTGGGTCTGAACCATACCCCTTCCGTTCAATAATTCCGCGCTGCAACCATTGAGCTTTCTCGGGTTAGTCTTCTCTCCAGTCCAATAATTGCCCCATATCAACTGCTGTTGTTGGGATGTTAACAAAATGGTCACGCCGTCAACCTAGTCAAGGTTCATGGACCACTTGGCAGGATAATCTTGTAGGCCATGACCCCGCATCTAGTTCTTTATAAAATCGAGCAAGAGTGGTGATGATCGGCAGACTTGCCGTACTTCAGATCCGAGGTTGAGAGTAACTATCTCATCACACATTCGACACTGGGTTCTCGTTGGTCAGCAACCGGTTTTAATTAGCACCGGTAGCCTCTAAGCCTAACGAGGAGGTCTCTCCCGCCCGGATCAAACGCTGTTCGAAACTCGATGGAAAAGGCCGTCATAGATTTTGGGGATTTAAATTGCTGCTCCATAATGAGACGGATTCCACCTTGGTGTGATATGGTTTTCATCCGATCTCAGACAGCCTGTGAATAACGTAGCGAATAATGTGGCTGCGGGATTTATGGGGCTAACTTCCCCGTAGTTTTTGCATATCCTCTTGTCACCTAACGTGCGTATCAGAAGTATTACGAATGCATCCTGGTACCCTGCAAAGCTTAAGCACCCATCGAACTCTCATTTCATTTGAGTGACAGCAGTGTGCAAACCGTCATCATACTGAATGCTGTCTGTTCTGGATCCACTCCTAACTACACTCAACCAAGTGACTGGTTTCGTCCCACAGTCTCCTACTTCCTTTTCCGGTTTGTAATTTCCTCCCATTCCTGTTTATCTCGTCAAACTAGTTGCCGCTGCGGTCTTCAGAAAAGTCGCATTGTTTTCCCGCATTCAGGCGTTCTCCCCGACCCTATTTCTACTGATCCACAAATCCTCACAGTGGCTTATTAAGGGGGCTTCTCTCACTTACCTTGCACTCATTATCCATTTTGCTTTGTTACATCCCTTAATCTGATTTTCGAATTTCGATTGCTTTCCTGCCGTCAGGACGTAGTCTCCTTCTTGTTAGTTTTCCGCCGCCACCTCACCAAGTGTCCTTCTGAACTCGTATCTTCGGTTCCACTTCCCAACCTCTGCCTATCGACTTTCCCTCTCTAGACTTGAGCACCCCAGTAGTATCCCAGCCCTCGTGCATCCTACGGGACGAAAATCCCTGTTGCCGCACAATATTCTTTGTTTCTTCTCAAAACTGCACAAATCGGGCACTCCCACTTCCTTTTTTCAGCTTCTTACAGACCTCATTTATTTTCGACTCGAATCAATGCTCTTCTTCCAATTCTAGCTGCATGTATTAAACCTATGACTGGTGTTTTGTCTTTTTAATGTGTCGGCGTTGTTTTTTCGGTCTCTCCCTCCACAGAGTACTATAGGCAATAGGCGTTATCAAGCAAAAGTTTATTGCGAGGTCCATTGGTAAGACTGGTCCTAAAAACGTCGGTCGGAAGCCTGTCTGTTTTCACTTTAACTTTGATTGATTCGGGAGCCGTACTATGTCTACAATGTGTGGGCTGTGCCGGGTACTCAGTGCGTAGGGTCAACTTACTCCGCCTATATATTCATCTCTTCTTCAGGGTCCAGTGTCAGTTTACTCCGAGCGTTCCGAGGCATCAAACCTTGTGCTTAGTCCTGTCTTGAAATCTGACGATCAGGGTTAAAAGGCATTCAAGTGATGTAATTTCCGGCTCTTTTTATACGACCTCCTTGCGAGGTGGTTAATAGGGTATCTTGGGTTGCGAAAGTTTGACGCGTTAGAAATGCATGGCTCTGCAGCTAGTTTAAAAAATCCAGTCACTTGAATAGACTTGCTGTAAACTGTGGTTTGCCGTTTTCTTTGCGGCAATTTGCAATTCTTCAGCAAATTATCTCATGTGTAGGTGGAGACCGGACGGTGGTTTTCACCCCCATCTAGAGTTGAATCCTTGTTTTTGGACATTTATTTGCGCCATATCGCTTTGCGAACGGCAGCTAACTGTGATCCCGTCTGCATTTGTTTCCTGTCTCCTTTCGATGACAGGATCAGCAGTCCTGTGTTGACCAGGTTAATCGTGTGGAATTCAGGACATAATCGATTTGCGATGTGCAATTGTCGCTCGAGTACCAAGTGAGCAAATAGTTTTCCGGGATCCTGAAAGTGGTGTTGGATACAGTTAGTCAGTTGTACTCCGTGGAATCGAGGGGCCGTTCGCTGTTCTCACAACGCACCAACTCTCGCATTCTAACTGCCAGCTGTCAATGATATGTCATGGTGCAGATTTCGGTTGACCACTTAGCTGTTATTCGCAGAACTCATCCTTGACAGAACTTCATATACGGTGGGAGCGTGCGCGGCTGTTACGATGACTATTCCCAACGGGCTGAATTTTTCTCTTCCGCCAGACCCGCGTGAGCTGTCCTCAGATACTTGTGTTTGTTGGTCTGAAACCAAAGTCCAGCCAACTACCCTGGACCCGTCAGCCTCATAGTACGGAGCATCCGCTTTTGCCTCTACATTTTTATAAGTAAACAGCGAGAGAGGCAGTAAATATAGCTTCGGCTGGAGCTCCCTTCAGCATTTCTTTTGGTAGCAATACAGCCTGATACTCAGCAGAGCTTTCCGGTCACATTTAGGCCTTGATGAGGGCGCAAGGTCATTGCTGGTCATTGCTGACCCAAAGCTGACCAACACATCAAGCAGAAATCACTTGTGTCCATTGCCATTTACCCATTCGCCTTTCGTTATCGAGTCAAACTGGCTGCTAGATCCACAATATAGCATAAAAGTGGGTTATCTTGTTATAGTCTAAATTAGTTGAGAAGCGTTCAGCTGTAGCACTCTTCCTCTGCCTAGCTGCCATGCCACCCGAAGGAAGCACGAGGGCTGGGATACTGCCAGGTTGCCCAAGCCTAGACAGGGGAAGTCGAGAGGTGGAGGTGGGATTCGAACCACGGACCTTCCGGTCAATAAATTCGCGCTCTAACCACTTGGGCCATCTCGCCCCCTCTCTTGAGAAAGGCTTCATTCACTTGGAGTTAACTTCCGTCGGAAGAGATGGGTATCAGCAGTAGCTTGGGTGTAATCCAACTGTCGGGAGAAACGTCTCCAGCTGATTGAGACGGCGACTTGAGGTAATAGACTGCCTTAGACCATCGTAGTTTATGCTGTCAGCTCAGGCCTATCCTAGAAGCTCTTTGTGAGCGTATCTGTTACATTGCCAGCCGTCGAAACCGCATGTGGTCAATGCACGCTCAGTGGTTAGGGCGCGAATTTACTGACCATAAGTTCCGTGGTTCAAACTCGACTTCTGCCTCTCGACTTCCCCTGTCTGAGTTTGGTCAACCGGGCAGTATCCCAGCCCTCGTGCGTCCTACGGATGACATGGCAGTGAGGCACCGATAGGGTGCTACAGCCGAATGATATTATTGATAAACTTGATTGAATGAGCAGCTTACCTCCAAGATGTTTTCATAATTTCTTCTGATATTGTACGCATTGCCGAACGACGGAGCTCGTATTTTATTGTTTCGGATACTTGCACTTGAAGGCCTTCAAGTGAATAAACGAGCCGCTGTTTTCCCATGGTTGCTATCTTCCTTAGGCCATAATCGAGGATTCGGTAACAAAGCGGTTTTCAGCAGCCGAGCTACGCGTGTGGAACTTCCTCGGTCGAAACCAAAATTATGTGTATATGAAGTGAGTCGGTGTTCAACGGTTTACAATTTATTCATTCATCGTAGAACCGACAAAGTTGCTGTTCTGAATCTCCTCTGGTTTATCGGGTTCTTCGTTCGTTACGGTTTATTATTCCCTTGCAAGTAAGCACAACTGCTCTTCGAGTTTTCATATAATATCACTTTCAGAGTCTTTACGTTTTCAGTCTCTATTCCTCTGACCTGGATCGTTGGTTATTTAGCGCGTAATTTTCCTGTTGCCCCGTAAGTGCTGGATCTTGTGCTTAATAACGCTGCCTCGTTTATAAGGATTCGTCAATGGCTTCACGAATACGGTCTTCAAAAAGCGATCAGACTGAATCTTCGTCCATTCTCATCCGTGATAAGATTTCATGATGTGTAAGTTTACATTGATTTCATGCAAAACGGGTTATGCTCACTATTACTAACACAGAACTTCCTGTTCTTTGGAAAACCTGACAGCTTCCGAAAGTTAGGCCTTTTAGGAGGGCGTAGCCTACACTTTCCTGAATAAATAGGATACTAGGTTATTTTGAATATTTGCTGAATCTGAGGAGCTTTCCGAGCTTAAACTTCGCAAGGGAACACGACTATGTTGCCGAGGATAACGAGTTCTATTAACAGTGTTATTTTATGGCCCGTCTGTCCCTAATCCCACCAGTCCTCTGCCCAGGAAAGACTAAACATGCGTTATTAACATGTAGTCAGTGATTTAGAAAGCAGTGTTAACACAGGCGGATGGTCGGCCCAGCCCTCGTGTTTTTTTTCGGGCGGCATAACAGCTAGGCACCGAAGGGTGCTGCACGAGTTCTATTAACAGTGTTATTTTATGGCCCGTCTGTCCCTAATCCCACCAGTCCTCTGCCCAGGAAAGACTAAACATGCGTTATTAACATGTAGTCAGTGATTTAGAAAGCAGTGTTAACACAGGCGGATGGTCGGCCCAGCCCTCGTGTTTTTTTTCGGGCGGCATAACAGCTAGGCACCGAAAGGGTGCTGCAGCTGAACGTTTATTATCATTATCATATTAGTATCTCGGGCTTCTTAGAGGACAAAAGAATTGCAATTTACACGCTTTTGACTGTGGTTCTTACCGGGCTGTAACACAGGGCATGCAGCGCATAAACTGAAGATGAGTCATGTAAAATCCACCATGTTTACGAATTGGGGATATCGGCTATCCATTGATGACTGGTGCTCATTATCGTGGCTATTTCACGCAGCCAATGGTTTCCATTCCCCACCCGGTACTCTTTAGTCGTCTTATTTGTTTTCTATACTCTCGCAAGCTCCGCTTCACACTACCCGTCGCCGCGTCCTTCGGCGAGGTGAAACACCATATTTACTTACACGCGACGCTTCTACAATGTGGGTTTTATTAGTATCCTGGTGTAATAACAGTATTTTCCCAGCTTAGTTCCCGATTCGAAGAAGAAGAATCCAAGTACTGTCTACGAGATGACCTGGATGCCATCCCAGTAAATGCTTTCACGCGTTCGCTCACTGCAGCATTACCATAGCAAGCTTTCCGTGTCCGATTTGGTAGTCGGTCACTTCAGGTCCTTTATCTTGATTTTGTTGTTGTCTGTCTTGGTCAGTCGGCCAAAGGTGGTTTGGCTTGAACCTCAAGTAGTTTGGCTGGTTATTTATCCTGGTTCGTTCCTGTCGTCTTTCAGTGTATTCTGTAGCCAAGTATCCACTTTACTGTCCTGATGCTTCAAGAATGAATTCCGGGCTTGTGTCGCGTGTAACAGCGTGTAGACGGTTGCCTGTCTGACTGGTCATATCTGGCTACGGTACTCATCAGTACGGTTGTTCCTCGACCTCATGTGCAATGTTTATGTTTTCTCAAGTTTTCTGGCACCTCATATAATCACGCATTTTTTTATTTAGCCACAACCGTCCGAGACCCAATACTATATGCGTCGCAAATCATACAACACCATTCGATTGGTGTGTTCTGGCCTCCGATGTCACATACGCTGTGGTAAGTCATCTTTATGTAACCAATTGGCGTAATCTCCTCCAGTCTTTATTCACGACAAGCATGGTGCGTCTACACTGACCTGTAGTTGCTCTAACCGAGGTGTGCATGTAACGCGAGTTTAGTGAGAATATCAGGAAACTTTTTGTGTGATCATGAGATCGTGGGTCTGATGTAATCAAGATACACTTTAACGTAAAGTAGCTACCACAGTTGGACCCTTTTTAGACAATCTCTTAGTTCTGTTAAACTTCCGTGGTAACCGTCTATTGCCTTATTTTCAACGCCAGCACATACGTTTGACACAGGTTTTAGTTGCCCTGGCTTACAGACTACTTAGCACCATTTACAGGACTTCACTAAGCGCAATATCTAAAAGTTAAGGCATGATTTTACGAGCATCAGTTTATAAGTACGTTGGATGACTGTTCAACGCCTTTTAATTTGTGATTGTCCATCTTTCTACCGCAGTGGGTAGTTGGAGGCTGTTGACTTGTTGTTATGAAACAGTACACTCGTGATTTCCTTCAGCAAATTTGAGCTAGTCAGCGACCTAGCTTGAGGGCCACTGGTGCTTTCCAGACCGTCATAACGATGTCCGCAGATCTAAGCTAGGAATGTTCGAAACACTGTACGACTTTGCAGCAGCAAGGTATAAAACAACGCCTTCGTCACTTCGCCTGTGAGCAGTTTGGAGCTTCTAGTATAGAATTGTGTTTAAATACATTCTACCTTAAGGAATTTAAAAATCTGTACCACCACATGCGGTCGCCTTATAGACCTACGAAGTGCTGGATATCAACAAACTCAAATTTCATATTTACAAGGGAACTAATAAGTGTGGTCAACAATTTTATGTGATTGGTCGACTGGATGTGCTCCCGCCTTTCGCAAGGTGAGTGAGATATACTTTTTCCAACCTCCAGCGTTGACCGCACGGATGAACTAGCCCGTCAGATGAGTTGGTCTCACCTTACTATTCAGCTATAGATTGTTTACAAGAGCAGTTTGTTCTCAGCCGATCGGAGTGCACTGCCGCGTTTCGGAAACGATGACTTTACTGGTTTAAGTGAGAATTTGAACAAGTACATGCTGAAGGTAACAGTTTTGATATGCGACCGCTACTTGCTGCGTGATCCGGTTGTGCATGTGCATCGCGTACTGGTCATTGTTGTATCCTGCTCGAGTATCTTATCCGGAGTGATGGCAGGGGCCAACGCTTTTGTACTTTTATCTACCAAGTTATTGGTTCGGCCCTCTCTGGTGTCCGAACCGAACGATTGGTCGGCCGGATGCACCTTGTCTGCGTTCCCCTACTCGGTTTGTACCTCACTGGAAGAACTTATTTCTCTTGATTATCCCTATTTGTTTGAGCTTGTCTCTCGAAGGAGGATTCGCCGCTATCACAGTAAGATATTAAGAGATTCAGGTCGACAACATCACTACTTTCTTCTAGCTAGATCCATCAGTTAGAAGGCATCGAGATCTCTGTCACAGATAGAATATAGGTCGTAAGCCATTTACAACAAACTCGTCAGCACTCGATTAGCTTTAAACACTTGGAGGAGAATAGTCCGTGTGAAGATTCTGCTCATTTTTATGCCACAAATGCAACCAATAACTTTGTCGTTGACTGCACAATAGCCTTTAACTCGGTAAACAGAGAAACATTTTGGACTATCCTTCAGAAATCTGGCTGCTCAGACGCATTCATCTGTCTTGCAAAACCAACTCATTCTCGAATGTAATCTCATAGAACTGTATCTGCGGATTCCAACATTGAGGGGGTGAAACGGAGCTACGCAGTGACACCAGCCTTATTTAGTTTGCATTTAAATGCGGTCTGCTTGGTGGCATTTCGGGACATGGCGTAGATGCTCCGGTCACTTATTAAGCTCCAATCACTTTCTAACCAGCCGAACGCTACACCACACGGAAACCTGTATATTTTTACTGACGATTTTGCTTTATTGACACACTCCGAAGAGGAACTGTGGCGTCTGATATCCGTACCCGATGAATCTCACTTTGTTTCAGAAGCGCTTTGTAAACAATTGGTGTTTTTTTCTAGCTGGACAGCGTTTAGCTTTTGACGCAAAAGCTTTATCAGGCCAAATGAGTAGACCATCAAGTTGGCCAGGTGTTACGATAGACGGAGAACCAATCAGTAAAACCCCTTCAGACTAACACACTAGATCAGTGTTGAATGTCAATTAAAGGGTCTTGCCGGTTCTTTCTCCATCCGCTTGCTAGTTCTACGCCTTCTATTCTACTCACACTGGGATATTTAGCGATTTCCACCACATCGGCCATCGGTCTCTGGTGTGGACCGTATTCCCCACTTGAAAACTTCAACATTTTGTAAACCTACTTTGTGTCCCATGTCTAGCGAATGCTCCGCTGATGCTGAGTCTCATTAACCCTCAATATTCATCTGTATTCCTCAGTGGCCTGTTTATTTTTCTCTTGTGCTCTGCAGTTCTGGTGTGAAGTTCCCTGGTCGTCTTTCCTATATAAGCCTTAGAGCAACCGTTGCAATTTTTCCATTGACACTAAACCTTCATAATGCCCGTTTCTATCTCAGCAAGAAATGCTTCGGAATTTTGCCAATATAATGAGTTCTCTGTATTCTCAGACTTGCGGGCATGTGGCAGTCTACGGGAAGTTCTTAAAAAAGCTTCTACACAAAAGGTGGTGCCCGACAAGTATGCCTACTCTCCATTATTCAGTTTCGTGGTCGACGATTTAATGAGACGAACAGTGGAAGGTCTTCAAAACCTTGGGATTCACATAGCTGCTGACGAAAACCTTGTCCATCTGGAATATGCAAACGAGATGATTCTAGTCTTCGAGGAGCGAAAGACACAAGTGCTTTTGGATGAACTGACCACACTGGTGTGCGCTTCGCATCAACAAAGTGTAATATCATGCTCCTGGACATGCAGCTACTAAGCATGCAACTTACAATCCAAGGAGAGACTCCAGGGTTACTGGTGTTTTACCGGATAATTGGGCGATATAGATGCAGTAGGGAAGCACCTCTATCGTCCAAAGTAAACTGTATCTAAATCTGTTTATTAAGATCAAAATTGTTCGTACTAAGCGGCTTTTGGCAAACATGGTTCTATGTTATTGGGTGTGAAGACCTTTATACTGAAACATACGTGGGCTGACAGAAAACAGACACATCGTTATTTCCTGCTATTCCGATGCTTATTTTAATTCCGTCATGCTTGAACATCATTTTCACGGGTTCACACGTAGCAGTACATCCTGTCCCGCACACCCCTGAGAGTCTCTCCATCAGCTTTTTCTGTATTGCTTAATTTTGGCGCAACTTCGAACTTGGAGCAGTCTCAAAGCCATCGCTGCTTGCAGCTCCCGAGATGACGCTTGGAAGCATTTGTTTTCGTATTCATTTCCCTAAGAACTGAAACTTGTTAAAATACTCACCAAACTTTATCTGTACTTTCTCCTTAACTAATTGTGGCTTTGTTCCTACTCATTGAACTTTTTATTTGAAGCCAAAGATATTCTAAATCACAACGTAGTTAATTAACCATCGACATTTCAGCCTAGCTACACGGCGCCTCAGTATGTTGGAGACAAGCTTAGATAGCTTGTTTTGTCTAGATTCAAAGTATATTGATAATGATGAATGTGGGCGTCAGGTTCACATACTGGATAGCCGCACAGTCGCCTCCAGACTACATCCATTCTTGTCGTAAAGAGGAATAAGATTTAGGTGGTGCTCGACACCGGGTCAAATGTATATTCATTGTTAAAACGCCCTTCGTAAGTGATCGAAACAGTGCTTGGCTATTTCCACACACAACCGTTTACAACATTCATATCAGTCCTCCCTTGATGGTGCAGGTCAGACCTTCCATAAGAATTAACGTAGATATGACAAGTCCACACAGTTAGTACAACCGCCACAGATTCACACACGTGGACACAGCTTATTTCGCTATCAGGCTCACGGGTTATCCTATGATGATTTAGAAAACTAGCCACCGGTTGAGTATAGAAACGGACGCTCCTCACCTCTCTATGAGGCTGGCTCAACGATAGGTTTATGTTAGTCCTGGTTTCGTGGTATTCGAACTTCAGTGTACACTGGATGATATTCACATCCAACATGACCTTAATTGAACACGCATGGAATGATGCCGGCATACGTCAGGTGGTTTCCAAACGAAGCAGTTCCTACTTGATAGAAGAACGGCAGCAATCTCCTTCCCCCCGCCATCAAGGAAACCAACTTCCAAAAACGGAACTTGAGACACTTGGTTCCCAAAGCGACAAATCTACATTTCCAGGAGTGGCATACTGCAGTGGGAATGTCCAGTGTCATTGACCCCAGGTCTATTAGTCGACTATCAGTTCAAAGGGTGTGTCATAAGCACATACTAACCGGAGCACTTTTTGACCGGACTAGACTTGATAGAGCCGATAATTTAGCCTCGGATATACGCGCCGTACCATTCACTGGATCATTTCACGCTTGAAATGCATTTTTCCGTTTCCAATTAATATTTCCTTGAGAGGAAGATGGTTTTGTTATGTTACCCCGGACCACTGGTTGGACTGCCCGTTCCTAATTTACTAGCCTTGTCTGACTGGAAGCAGCAATACTGCGTTCTAGTGACGGGGTAAACTAATTCAAGTCGACACGTATAAGAATTTTGAGAATGGTATGTTACGGGTTGCCTCCATCTTGATCAATAACTCTCCTGCATCAAACCCGGTAGGCTGCCATTCCCTTTTCCTAACCCATAATTCAACGAAAGCCAGCGTCACTCTGCTACCAACTTTTTCTACTGCTGAGTTTGTTGTTCTCAGTTTCCAACACCCCTTCTAACCCGAAAATAACTAAAACCTCCGCATGTGGTTTGTGGCCGAATAACTAACCTGAAAAATGATAGCTTTCGGGATTTCTTGGAGTGCTTTGTTTCCTTCGTTCGCCGCAGTATTTACGAGATTCGGCTTACTAAATGCACCCTTCTACTGGATTTGGACAACCTAGAAACATGACAGACACACGTCCGTTCAAACAAAGATGGCAAAAGAGCCTGACAGCACAATATCATTACACAAAACGGCTTGAACTCCATGGAAGTCATCCATCTGGTTCGCCTGGGAATGTTTCACCACTCATGGTGATGATGGATCTTGGTACTGTTTTGTTAGCTGCACGCAATGTGCTTGTGTTAGTCAGCAAGACGCTCGTATGACGCACAGACTGGTACATTTCATGGTTACTATAAGCCCTGTGATAGAATTACAGGGCCATACATCTTTTCCGGTGTAACTTGATCAGTAACCGGTAGAATGGAACTACTTTTGCTCACTGAATGATGGATATAATCCGTCCAAGGTTGTTTAGGTGCGAACTTACTGACCGGATGGTCTGTGGTTCGATACCCAACTTCGGCATCTCAACTGCTCCTACCTAGGCTTTGGCAACTTGGCAGTTTGTTACCCCTCGTGCTTTATTCGAGTGGCATTGCAGCTAGACCCCAAAAGGATGTTACAGCTGAACAATTGTTACTATTATTAACCCAAACGGAGAACTACTCAGAATATATATTCAAGACACTGACGAAAAACACTAAAACCTAGACACCCTTATAGCGATACTTTTTCCAATAGTTTATTCCGTCTGGTTTGTTTCAGAATACTTAGTGAGTACGTGGCTGATATCTTATTTGATATTCCGACACTTTCAGTTTGACCGCGAGGTTAGTGTGGAGGCCATAAACCTGCACATTGGAGCCCAAAACCCCGCATTTTTGTATTTGGGGGGGGGGGGGGAGATAGCCGAGTTGTTGGAGTGTGGATTTATTGGTCGTAAGGTCCCTGGTTCGAACCAGACTTTGCCTCTCGATTTCTCTCGTCTAGACTTGGGCAACCTGGCATGACAGTTAGGCACCGAAAGAGTGCGACAGCTGAACGATTTTTTACGCCTGTACATTCGGTGTGCTATTATCTTCCCGGGTTTCTGATATCAGGATCGCGGGTCATTCGGTACACTGCAAAACATAAACCATATCTTGGTGAGGGGAGAAGTGTGACTCGCCGTGATATCTTTTAAATTAGTTCATCATACTGTTGGCTCGTGATGGAAAGCAACTATTGTAATTGTTTCACTATCCAAAGGCACGGAGTTAGTGTTTTTCAGTCTTCATTATTCCAAGTATGTACATTCTGTAATCTGAAACGGCTTCATATTTAATCGCGAGAGTATCAAACATCCCGGTGTAGTGCCCTCAAAAGTCATGAAAAACTGCAGATGTTCTGTAACACAAGAAAACGACCTAGTGTATTTGGTTAATGTAGCCGATTGCTTGAGACTGTAGATGGCTCCGTTTTATTTATTGGATGTCAGTTTACGACAAAAGAGCTCGAGCGGTCCCATATTTTCGTCAAGTAATCGTTACTTTCATTCAGTACTAAGAGGCGCAATACCATACTTCTCTAGAGCTTTCGTAACACTTTTACCATACATGTTAATTGTCACCTCATCCAGTTTTATATACGATTCTTGAGTGTCCAACTTTCATTGTTGATTTTCGAACTATATACATACCTAAAACATACCATTGCCTACCCAGTACTTGTGTTAGTAATAATGTCTGTCCTAAATTGACAATGGGGAATTTCTCCCATTCTTTCAAGCAGGGTAACGAAAAGGACGCCTTAACGTCTAGGCTGATTGCGGGGAAGTTGCGTCCATTCGTATACAGACCCCTTTTCACGCACCGGCTGCTGGACCTCTTCGTTAACTTCCGGTACAAGAAAGCTTCCGCCAGGACTTCCCCTGCCACGTTGTTTGATAATGCCTACTAGGTAGCATGTACTGTGACGCACACAGGCATGTCGGTTGTATGAGTGATCAATAACCCTCGATCCGTTTGGCAAGCCCATGTGAAGTGACCGTGAGAAGGTTAACGCTTTACTCGCCATCAATCACTAACAGAGACGACGTATTTATAGACAGGCGTTATGATGACAACACCGAAGAAACGTGCATAATCATGTGACCTGATGGTGGGTCATAACTATTGCTATCGCAAACAAATAGTTTGCATCAGCAATTTTGCACACGTAAAACTGACTGTTCCATCTTAATTAAGGTTACTAAAGAACCCTTCAGTAGCCCACTACCCGTTTCTCCCTTCCTGAGGTCCATTAAGTAGGCACCTTCTCCGGGTTTTCATCAACCGTGTGTTCTTAAAACGAATTGCACGAGATTCACCCATTTATCCACTAATTTGAATCTAATTGGCTACCCAACGCTATCACTTCATGTAAACCAGAAATTCAGCCGGGATTCACTCGAGTTCCTTGATAAAATTAAATTGGTGTGCGAGCATGTGCATTTCATGATGGTTCGGTCCTCATCACCAGAACTATCAGGCGGCGCACTTCATTGCCCCACCCAATTGCAAATGGCCGGCTATCTCATAGCAACAATTCGCTATATCCTTTTGAGGACAACGCCATGCAGAATAGAGAGGTTTGAACTCCTTCCTGCAGAAGGAGATATGTCACAAAGTTTATTGTAACTGGACGGAAACTCGGGGACTGTGCCTACCTGATGAGCCCGAAAAGGGCGAAACCGGTCGTGGGTTGTCGATGAATTCTCAGCAACCTTATGAGTAGTGCATTACGAATATGCATGTATCGCGACATCTCGAATATCGTAGCAACTAAAACATGAGGCGGCCTGGTGCAGCACATTCAGGTGCTTAAGAACATCATAAACGAGACATTCAGCTGAGTTCCAGGTGAATCTCCCGTCCAAACCAAATTGGTATGGACATGAGTGTTCGAAAGACTATTCTTTCCCTACCATTTGACCTTCCCGAAATGACACATCTCTTGATGCT